CGGTTTTATGGAATGGTTGAGATGGTCAACCATAAACGGAAAGAGCTTTTGGTACATCCTTTGGCAAATCGTCTTCGGCGCACAAAATGGCAGAAATTCGGAGCTTTAGTTTATATTATAAACTTCTTGATGCATGCTGCATTTGCTGGCCTCTTGACATACTTCATAATATTTGTGAAAGGGAAAATGTTAACGGAGCAAAGGGCGAGGCATAAAGAAAGGAGAGGCTGTGGGGCTAACGTCTCGAAACTGCAAGAATCAGTCGCGACCATTATTCTTATTATTGTCATCTTCCACTTGTTGAAGGAACTYTTCCAAATGGTTATGCAAAGACTTCGATACTTCACCGACCTCACAAATCTCTTCGAGATCACTATGTACACTTTTGCACTAATATTCATCGTTCCTTATGCATTCAGAGGGACAAATATATGCACYYACCGACGAACAACCATTTGGAATTTTGGATTGACAGCGGTCTTTATGGCATATTTTGACTTGATCCTGTTGACTCGTACCTTGTCCTTCATCGGCCTGTACGTGACGATGTTTATAGAAGTCTTCAAGACACTGTTGAAGGTCATGACAATGTGTGTTTTATTTCTGCTCGCTTTTTCAGTCGTCTTCTTCATCATGTTCAGAGAGCAGGTGGGTTGTTGAACCGTGTAAGATTTGTGATCCTTAAAGGCCCAGTTTGTACCATTATGCTTTGCGCGCCTCTGTTATTATTAATATTATTATGAAAATTGCCGCCTCCCGGCCCTCTCGGCCAGCAAAGCATAATGGTGCACACTAGGCCTTTAAAGCTAAATCTTTGCGGACACCCCGATATCACACACAATCCACTATAACATGCAGCACTGTTCCAATAAAAAAAAACTCTTAAAGCCTGGTTGATATATATGGCATCATAACCATAATTATAATCGTAGAGAAGTGGAAACTTTTCCATTCATTATGAACATACTAATTATTGTGACTATGACGTAGCGCTTGAAGCTCTTTACGAAAATGATTAAGATTATGACGCCATAAGAAACAAGCTTTAAAGAAACCACTATTGCTCGTTCTCTATTCCAGTCCCGTTTTTCGTTATAACGAGAGTTGACCGCAGATTTTCTGTGTGTATGACATTTCAGAGAAATGACTTAATGATGATGATGATGATGATGATAATGATTGTTACTGTAATGAAAAGTGCGTACATGTCTAAAGAGATGCAATTATTATATCACCTAGGAAGCCTTTGACGAATTTGGGGAAACTGTCGTCAAGACAATGGTAATGGCTGTCGGTGAGCTTGACTACCTGTCAATGCTGGTGGACACCGAAGGAAAAAATAGCACCGAGACCAATTTACCTCTTGTACCATATCCAGAGCTATCCTACATTTTTGTGTTCGTTTTCGTCATGGTCATGCCTATTGTTCTGATGAATCTATTGGTGAGTGACTTGTTTTAGACATTGCTTATATTGACCTATGTCCCAAAGCTTATGATAATGATTATGATATTGTTAATGATAATGAAAATGATATTGTTTGGATAATGATGTTGATAATGATAATGTTAATGATGATGATGATATTGATAATGATATTGTTAATGATAATGATAACTTTGTTTAATGARACTAACAGCTTAGTCAAAGACAAATCTACCACTATGCCATCTGATATATTCACTCACACTCACTACCTCTACCTRGATTATTTTGGTACTCGACACTCCTCGCATCTAGACCTACGTCTCAAAGCTTTAYATTTGTACTGACCAAATTACAATGGTTTTCTAGGTTGGTCTTGCAGTTGGCGACATCAGTGAAATCCAGAACCATGCTTATCTGTCCAGGATTGGGCGGCATGTGGAGTTTCTTACCGATATTGAAAAAAGTTATCCAACATTTCTGACTCGTTGGCTGTATTCACCAGTAGCGGTCGTATACCCAAGACAGATCAACAGTCTTATTTGGAAGTAAGTCTACTTTATACAAGTAGCTGATTGAGGTCAGATTCTTAACCTTAATATATCAAGTCTTTCTCATTACACTCGAAGAYGTTCYCGAAAWCAATTRWTTTTCTKACTGTATTTTTKWARGAATTGTTCTTTCTGTTTTGTACYCTRTAGCGCATCGTTTGCTTAATATTTCTGACTTTTCTCATCTCTTTATGTGTATYTATTTCAGTTTGTGGATATTTTTTGGAAAGTCGTTCGAGAAACTTGTACTCGAAGAGGAACATGACACAAAAATGTCGCCAGACGCGGAGGAAGAGAGGTATCGTGGGATAAAAGATGAACTCAAAGATGTGAAAGATCGCTTGAAGAACCTCACACAGTTGATGGAGTCGCAACACCACCAGAGACTGAGATCATCGAGATCATCTAGTCTGCCAGGTATAGCTGAGGCTCGTAAGGTCAGCTCACCTGGCGATGACAGTTCTGTTCTATGATAATAAGCTTAAATCAAAATACATTCCCGGCTTGGATGCAATCTCCTACCTGATTCAAGCAAATTGCTATGAAAAAGCTATCGTTTGGATGGCCAGCTTACCTTTTACGGAAGTTTATTTGAACGTTTTTCCTGTTGTAGGATTAAAAATAAGTTAACCTTCCAAAAATTGTAGAGAACGAAGGATGAAACAGCAGCCATATTTTTTTGCTTTGAAGCCCGGCCTTCAAGTAATAAGGCCAGGATGTAGTAAAACACAGGGATTCCGCGCGCAAACGACAAACATTGGATTGCTTCCAAACCGGGCGGAATAATAATCAATCATTACAATGAAAAAAAGATATATATACAAAAGAACTAAAGTTCACTTCTAAACACGTAAAATATGTATTCAATACTCTGTGTATCGATATATAGGAAACATTTTCCAAAATTCCAAAAATACATGTAAAAATGCGTGTAATTATAACTATGCAGTGACGTTCATGAATATTACTTATAGAATATATTAAGAATCGCCCTGTATAAGTGCATATTTTTTTCTATTACAAGCACCGCAACGATTTCATGAGATATTGCCTCATCAGTTACCACGAGTTACCATGTTGCCAATGAACTAAGGGTTGGTCCAGGAAGAGTGTACGGGGGTTGAGGACCCTAACCAGAARGGCAATATATCTTTATATGTGCGTCCTTATTAAGCAAAACTTAAGCKTCTCATGTAACCCCCCTGGAAGAAGCCTTCCTTGATCTACAGTCCTACTGTTACCAATATAACTACAACATTTGTATATGATACTTGACATTACTTAAGTTATTTCTACAAAATAAACAGGAATGTACAAAGAACATGGTCTGTCTTCTCTCTTTTTGTATGTCTTCTTAAAGTTGTCATGTTTAATGATCCCATGTGATTCATCGGCCTTTTAAGCGTCATAAACATGGGAACCATTTAAGATAACAAACTTCGTAAGTTGTTCCAGAAGGCATACTATCCTTTTGAGGCACACAGGATCTGCAAAATAAAGTAGTTGAAATAACTAAGAACAAATCCTGTTGTCAGACTTCTCTGACTTCTCACTTCTCTGTAGTCTCCTCTCGCAGCTGTTAGGACGTTCGTTCCCAGGTCACTCGGAGTGACCTGGGAACGAACGTCCTAACGGCTGCGAGAGGAGACTAACTTCTCTGGATCTCCACAATCATGATCAGCTATCACTTCAATTTACCGCGTCCGAAAGGTCCAGAAAAGCAGATACATAACATTMTATTTCTGCACGTAAACTAACCTTTTTAATGACTGGAATAACAGCCATGGATAGTGTCTACTGTACGACTGGTGAAATCCCGTCTCTTTTGAATTCTCCAGTTCAAAGACTACTTATAGTAGCCTCATCAAACAAAGAAGAATTTAAATCCAAAGTTAATTAAGACTAATAGTATTCACGGAATGTTTCGTCCAGTGCGCCTCATTCCATAGTCATTCAATTGTAATGGGCACTGGATCTCACAGTTAAGTCCAATTTCTTTCGAGTTTCCACCAGTAGTAGTCGTTAAGCATGCTTCAAACAACGTACACAGCTTGTCGATGTCGTTTTCTGAGACGGTTGAATCTTCTCCAAACCCATTAAACTCACTCGTGTTGTATCTTAGTGGAGATATTCCATTGCCAGAAACAAAGATCTTGTTTGGTGGGTGGTTTGTTTCTGTGGTACTGCACGCCGAGAAAGATGAACTGGTAAAAGGCCTTTTCCTCACAATTCTTTGTATTTTTCTGATCTTTTTTCTGAACTTCCTTCGAAGGACATTGATGTCTTCCTTGATTCTTTGCAAAGCCTTCTGGTAATCTTTAAGTGACATTGGTGGAGGCCTCAGCATTTGCAGCAACGCATGGATTGCATCACCACTGAACATCCTTTGCAATGTTGCCAGGGAAGAAACCGCTTCCAAACTTTTTCTCTGGTCACAGCTCCCAACATGATCTTGTCCTCCTCTAGGTGCGGTGCAGCAGTCGTCCATCGCTTTGACGTTCAAAGGTGACTTAACTCGATGAGGCTTCAAGCGAAAGTTTTCGCATCTTTTCTGTGCTTTCATATCTGTTCCATTTCGATCTTCGTCTTTCTTAAATATATTTGCCAACGACTCATTAAACATCGCACATAAATCGTCCTCTTTGACAATGGTTTGGACCAATAATCTTCTCCCAGCTGAAGGATACTGCTCTAACTGTACTATTGCTCGATACGTCGCATGTCGCCTTACAATTCCGCTTATAGAAACGAAAATCTTATTTGGAGGCTGGTACTGCCAATCTTGTGGACTTACCATGGATGGGATTGCAAGAGGACGCTTCATATTTATGTTTCTTGAACTATGAAAGCTTGATGATGGAATTCTTTTTGCTTTTCTTGGCTTTTGTATCCTGGATTTAGATTTCCTCCACTTTTTAAAGCCAGTTGAGGGTGGTAGACCTCGTCGGCGTGACAACGCTTTGTCTGCATTGTTAAGTAATGGCAAATTATGGGGTTTTGTTGTCTTTGTTGATCTTTTGATTTCTACAATTGTTTCATTTTTAGAACAAATCTTCTCAAGCTCTGTGCGCACCATATCAGTGTTTGTCTCGCCGCATCGGCTATCACCATACACAAGTGCTGGGAACGTATTCCATCTTGTTAACTTAGAGGTCTTGAAACGTGCCAAGAGCTCATTCTGTGAAAGGCCAACTGTAACGTTTAGCGCTAACACCTTCACTAATACAGTAATTTCCTTAAAGTAGTTGGTACTACATCTGATCTCAACAAGGACCTCAGGTCTCAGAGCCCCACTAAGACCAAATCTTGGTAGCGAGGGAGTGTCATTCAAATTTATCAATCTTTTTCCATATAACAGCGGTAGCCAATCACAATGCTGTCGCTGTGAATTCATGMTCACGTGTCTATGCAAGCCCATATAAGGTACAATGGCAAGGCATGGTTTCATTTCCCTAAAGGGGTGGTACYCGGTGGGGTTTTGTGTTCCTGTTGCTGTGGCAGACATTCGGCTTCTATCCAAACGCCATCCCATGAGGAAGGAATCCATTCTTGTCGTCCTGAAGGAGATTGTGTTGTAGAGGGGGAAGAGAGAGGATCTTGGCTGTATTTCTTGCTGCACAACTGAAATGATGATACGTATGTATCAGCCGAAGCAATAATGTATCAATAGAGCAAATCAATAATGCCGGTTTTCAGCCACCGTGATTTCTCACACGAGTAACGCTAATTTGTAAAAAATTTCAAATTTACACCGGGCTTCACAAGTTCACGATGCAAACAAATGAAAATAAAACGGCATGCAATATAAAAAGCTTTGTTGCTTGCGTTTACGTTTGCATTTGCGTTGCTCGTGTTTACGTGAGCTATTCAGACGTGAAGATTTCGCAGAATTCGGTATTAATATAATGAGGTCCTAAACTTACCCAGTCCTGAACTCGGCATGTTCGTGTTGTTGCTGGCAATGTTATCCATTGTTCTTGTCTCTTTCCACCAGAAAAACATACTTTTTGTTGAATATATATAAAATACTTTAGCGAATACTTATTACTTTGAAGAAACTTCAAATGAAATAGTTGTTGCTGATGAAAAACTTCATAAACTTTCACTTGTTCATTTACGAACGTAACTTACATTGAAAAATCCCGCATACGTAACAATTGAGCAATCGAACCGGAAGTGAAGGAAGAACCAATAAGCAGCCAAGACGAAAAGTCGCAGAATTCTTCATCATGTTTTTAAACCAATCAGCATGCGTTAACCATGAATGTTCGACCAATCATTTTTTAGCGCGCGCGCTCGTGCGCACTTTATTTTGTATCTGCGTCATATCGAATGTTGGCATTTCCGTTCCATGCACTTATATATCCCTTAAGCTTGGGGTCCGCTCAAAGTCTTCAATGGACGGTAGTGAGTGGAAGTTTTTGATTTTTTTTTCCTGCATTCTCTTCCTTCATTCAAATATTCAACTCTCACAAAAAATCATTACTCACAAAATTATCGAAATCTATTTTAGATTGTTAAT